CTGGCCGCTTTCTGTCCATTGGTGCAAGCCGATTAATCATAAGAATATTATATATGGTAATTGCCTGTCTACTGCAATTATTTTCCTGAAGAAGTCGCAGGTTTGACTGTATTTCAATGCAGGTGTTTGGGTGAGCTATTCTGCAAAGTAGCACTTTTAATAGACCGAGAGGAAACCGCTTCCTGTACAAGCACAACGAACTGTTCTGACAGTGCGTTGCCATAAGGACTGCAACTCTTTTCCATAGTTTGCCTATGAGAAATCTTCCCAATACGCAGTACACACGTGAACAGTACAGAAGTAACTTTCCAGTACACCAGAGCGGGACACATTTCATCCATGGAGTTCACAAAATTCTCAGGCCCATTAACTCCGCTGACGTCATGACTCGTTCCCGGGGTAGCCAGGAGCCACTGATGACGTACATGCACACGCCGCTGATGCGCGCTGTCGTGTGAAGGTGGATCATCGCTTCATATCAGATCTTTTTAGCCGAACAAATTACAGAGATTATATCCAACCTTTAGTGATTCATATGACTGGCTGAATTTTGCTGAACACAAAAGATATAGGTTTACTATCCGTAGAATATGACATATTCGCCGTAAGCTCGTATGATCTGATAAGTTATATAGAGAGAGTTTAAGGTGCCTATAGCACCAAGATTAAAACCTGTAAATTCCATGCAGTGCTTTACGCGTAGCTGCGTCATGGGCTAAATTTGAATGATCGGTTTTGTAAACGTTAGATATTCCAAGAGGGTACCTCTACGTTTTCGACAAAGTACAGTTTAGTCTTATTTTTTACGCACATCATTTTCGCGTCGAGGCAAAGGGCATCAGTCCTTAGACGGTGTGTCAATCTGTGTACTGTCAGGAAAATTTCCTTGAGTCACATTCGTCGAATGATTTTTTCTGTGATGTGACTTCTGCTCACTTTCCATCCCAACGCGCTCAACGCTTTGTAGCCTTCACTTTGCTTAGAAGTATCTGGGGGAAAGGGCAAATCCTGACATCCTACATACTAGTAGTAAGGGGGCTACGTTTGCGTTAGTACTGTTAGTCTACATTTCCATCCACTCACTCAGCTGCGGGATTGCCTTTTTCCATTACACGCTTAACGTTAAAATTCCATGTGAGGACTTCACAGTTTTTTTCAGAGTAACCTATGTCGTCACTACGTACGTAAGCATGTATGCGTGAAAAGGTTAAATCCCGAGATTACCAGGCAGCTCCAGCCCGAGCCTGACGCCCTTCGTGATTACATCAAAGCGGGAAATCACGACCCGTTAGCACGCGTGGGCGCACGGGCGGGGCTGCGAGACGGGCCGCTCGACCATTCTCATTAACCTGCCGCCATCTTGAATTTGAAGGTCAACATTTGAGGGTCAAACACTAACGTTACAGTGTCCGCTAGTAGCATGGCGAGAGTCGACGTACTAGAACGTTGTGAGGTTGAAAAATGATATAAAACATGAATGACAATCCGACCTTTTCTCTCATGACCATGCAAAAAGTTTTATAAGTAGTAGTAGTAGTAGCAATAGCAGTAGAAGTAGTACTTTTACTGCTATTGCACTTCAAGGGAGTGAAGTTAAAAGTCCGTTAAAGTGGCCAATGAGGGAAAATCTTTGGCAGTGAGGGGTGGAAAGTTTTGAAACAATAACAACGAAAAATGCTATATTTTCCCAACATTAATATTTCCAGTGGTCAGGGTCACAGGACTGTAAATCCATGCCGATGATGCAGACTCACGGACCGGCTAAGATCATTGCCGCCTGGCCTTGACTCCTGCCCCTGGCCCACAAGCCGGGTCACGTCTCGGAGGGCCCACGGCCAATCCCGCTGTACAAGGTCACAAACCGGAAATCGGGATAAATGGTAATTATGCTGTTTATTGGTGTGATAAGATACATTAGCAACATAAATGTGTTATCTATTTATCACAAGTAAACATTGTTATCACCATCGTTAGTGCCTCTTAAGTAGAGGGCCCGGGCATTCGGCCAGTGATGCTCAACTGGCCAATTTATATCATAACAATCCAAGAAATACACCATGGGCCTGAATAGAAGACATGAAAATATAGCGGTAATGAAGGTTTTACACTTGATCAATAAATTAATCTAGATTATAGATACATTTCGGCTCAGGTCGACAACCCCATTCATAAACTGTTTGCAGTTACATGACCGATTATCCACTAGAGATATATGCGCCCTCTCTCAGAATTTTCTTGTCAGAACTTGTATTTTCTTGTCATCACTGATGCTACCACAACGTGCACCTTCCCAGTACAATAATTTCTTTGCTCCGAACTCTCCCGGAATGTCAGAAATAATCAGCACCCGTTTCCCCCAGATTCGCTTGTCAAAACAGAGTTCCAGCTCTCCAGTGACAATATTGTCTCTATGCTCTGCACTGTCCATATTTGTCAAGAATAATCAGTACACACGAAATCATGCCCTTTTCCGTGATTCGCTTGTCAAAACAAACCATGAACGATTCCAAGAGTTGCACTTCCCTCGTAAAAACGTTCCCTCATAAAATCACAGATTGTCAAAACTAATCAACAATTTACAGATGTCTTCACACACTGGAAGTATGTACCCTTTACGCGAGTTTCGGCTGTCAGAACTGATCGTGCACGCTGTCACACCTCCCCACGCGAGGCGGCCCTCCCTGGGTTCCCACTCCGCCCTTGGGCACAGTCTGGCGTTTCGCTGAGTTCGTGAATTTGTTCGTTTATGATCAATGGCATGAGTTCACCGCCCGCGAGAAATAAAAAGCAGCCACATCCATCAAACAGTAGCACAGCATTTGTCCTGATGTCAAAAAAAACAAAGACGCAGATGTACAAACGTTTGGGTAGGCATTTTGCATCGGGTATTCCCGTTGATAGAAATGCTATTAATCAATAAATTCAGCTTCAGTCATGTCAATAAATATAAGTTACGGTCT